TCTCAAAAGAGGATACATTAGCCAGCATGATGACATGTGCCTGTGGTTTCAGCTGTTTGGGAGGCTTATTATTACCTGAGTCTGAGAGGTTGAGGCTGCAGTGAGCTTTGATTGTGCCACTGCACTCCAACCTGAGTGACAAAGTAAGACCCTGTTTCAAAACTAAGAAAGGCATACAAATAGCAGATAGGTATGTGAAAAGATACTGAACATCAATATCATTGATCTTCAGAGAACTGTAAATCAAAATTACAATGAGAGATCATCTCACCCCACTTAAAATGGCTTTTATTCTAAAGATAGCCAATAACAAATGCTGGTGAGGATACAGAGAAAAGGTGACCCTCATACACTGTTAGTGGGAATGTCATTTAAGTACAACCACTATAGAGAAACGTTTGGAGTTTCTCAAAACTAAAAATAGAGCTACCATATGATCCAGCAATCCTACTGCTGGGTATATATGCAAAAGAAAGGAAGTCAGAATATCAGAGATACCTGCACTCTCATGTATATTGCAGCACTATTCGCAACACCCAAGATTTGGAAGCATTCCGAATGTCCATCAACAGATAAGTGGCTAAAGAATATGTGGTACATATACACAATGGAGTACTATTCAACCACAAAAGAGAATGAGATCCTGTTATTTGCAAGAACATGGAAGGAAATGTTCAGTGAAATAAGCCAGGCACGGAAAAACAAACTTCACATGTTCTTACTTATTTGTGGGAGCTAAAAATTAATTTTTGTTTGTTTGTTTGTTTTTTGAGATGTAGTCTTGCTCTGTCACCCAGGCTGGAGTGCAGTGGTGCTATCGGCTCACTGCAACCTCCGCCTCCTGGGGTCAAGTGATTCTCCTACCTTCACCTCCCAAGTAGCTGAGATTACGGGCATGTACCACCATGCCTGGCTAATTTTTGTATTTTTAGTAGTGATGAGGTTTCGCCATGCTGGCCAGGCTGGTCTCGAACTCCTGACCTCGTGATCTACCCGCCTTGGCCTCCCAAAGTGCTGGGATTATAGGCGTGAGCCACTGCGCCTGGCCTCAAACAATTTAACTCATGAAGACATAGAGTAGGAGAATCGTTAGCAGAGGCTGGTAAAAGTAGTATGGGGGATGAGGGGTAAGGGGTAATGGTTAATAGATACACACATATAGTTAGAAAAAATAAATAAGATCTAATATTTGATAGCACAACAGGGTGACAACGGTCAATAATTATTTAATTGTACATTTTACAGTAACTAAAAGGGTGCAATTGAATTATTTGTAAAACAAAGGTATGTTTGAAGCATGATGGATACTTCATTTACCCCGATGTGATTATTACACATTGTAGTCATCAAAATATTTTATATACCACACAAATATATACACCTATAATATACCCCAAAAACATTTTTAAAGACTTTCATTCAGAATTACTACACTGTATATTTACAAGTGAATTGAGGATTCTTGTGACTAAGAAGAGACTCACTAGTGATGGTCAGTTGGTTTTGAAATGGCTGCTAAATTACTGCTTTGGTAATTGTAGAAACTGAGTTGTCATGGTGATATTGCTAGTAACCATTTTAGCAAAGAATGTAACAAAAAATGAATTTGAAACAAATAGAAGTACTTTGAAAGTTGCAGAAGGTAAAATGCTCTTAATCACTACCGTCATCAGTCTGTAAATTAGTTTCCTGAAGGGAGCAAAATTTGTAATTATGAACACTTAGCTCTGCTATAATGGCAGCTAAATTGTTCTCAAAACCTGCAGTGAATCCAGTAGGGCTCTAGTTCTACTTACAGGGTCAGAGAATATGCAGAGAAATGTGCAGGTTTCCACAGATGTGAGCTCCAGAAGCAGTGGTGGCAGAAGCCAGCTCCAGTTCTACACAATGCTGTTTGTGAACACAGAAGCACCCGGATCTATGCTCTGAGCAGGAGCTATGTTCACGATTTTTAGAAATTGTAAAACATTGCAACAAAGTGTGTAATGTACATTTATCTTGTCCCTCTGCTGTTGATTGTAATGATCTCTTTTGGACTGTAAATTGAACCATTTAAAAATTAGTGTTTATCAGATTTTTCTTAAAACTTTTCAACATCTGTTTGTCTAGTTAGAATATATTTTCCTTCAGAAACATCACTGATTATCAGGGAAATGCAAATAAAAACCACAGTGTGATACCACCTTACTCCTGCAAGAATGGCTATAATTTAAAAATTGAAAAATCGTACATGTTGGTATGGATTTGGTGAGAAGGGAACACTTACACTGCTGATAGGAACGTAAACTAGTAAAACTACTATGGAAAACAGTACTGCCATTCAATCCAGCACTCTCACACTGGGTATCTACCCAAAACAAAAGAAGTCATATGAAAAAGACACATGCACATACATGTTGATAGCAGCACAATTTGCAGCTGCAAAAATATGGACTGCCCATCAACGAATGCATAGATAAAGGAAGCTTGGAATATATACAAGCATGGAATACTGCTGAGCCATAAAACAGAATGAAATAATGGCCTTTGCAGCAACTTGGATGGAGCTGGATGCCATTATTCTAAGTGAAGTAACTCAGGAATGGAAAACCAAATATCATATGTTCTCACTTATAGGTGGGAGCTAAGCTATGAGGATTTTATATGTATTTATACACATACACACACACACACACATACACATACACACACACTACATATAAGTTAAACTGAGAAAATTTGTTGTGCCTGTAAAGGGTATGCTATTCAGCCATTTAAAAAACAACAAAAAACTAAGAAGATACATATCCTGTAGACATAATGGGTTTCTTCAGTAACTAAGCCTCTATTAATAAACATGTTATATATTTTATACATTTAAAATACGTTTGTGCAAAAATGTAAGAGATTATGAAGTGCATATATTCCTATAGTAAATTAAGTCCTGATTAGCTGATTATTAAAGCATTATCTGATTTACATTCCTACAGTCTTATGGTTATATGAATAGAAAATTAATGTTAGAAGTAGTTTCAGTGGGGTTTTCAGTTAAACAAATGAGAAAACCACATATCTGCTTATATCCTAACTGCTTTCCATACCAGAGAACATCAAGCATTTGTTGACTTATCCAATGGATAAAACATTAAAACTTTAAAACCAAGAAACCTAATATGTTGTTGAGGTATTAATTGTTTTTATACAATTAAGTCTTTACAAGGATTACTATGAAAGTGGTAAGATTACTCTAGTTTTATATTTATTTAAACATTTGACAAAGTGCTGGATACACTGGCTCATGTGTGTAATACCAGCACTTTGGGAGGCCAAGGTGGGAGTATCACTTAATCACAGGAGTTTAACACCAGCCTGGGCAACAAGTGAGACCCTGTCTCTACAAAAAGAATTTTTAAAAAGTGGCATGAACCTGTAGTCCCAGCTACTTGAAAGGCTAGGATCATGCCACTGCACTTTAGCCTGAGTGACAGAGCAAGACCCTGTCTCAAAACAAACAAATAAACAAAAATCTTTGGCCAGGACAGCTGGATAATCATGTGGCAGAGGGCTGCTCCCAGCCTGTTCCCCTCTCACTGCATTCAACTCATCCCCACATTCTGTTCTGGCCAGGGGTGACAGATGCGGAGCACCTTGGAGTTTCATTTCCAACTTAGAGGAAACACTGTGTAAGGCAGCATCCTACAAAAAGGCATGTCATAAAATGGGTTTGGTCTATCCAAGGTGTTTCTCTTTGATCTTTCTACCATCTGAAGTGTAAAGAGTATTCCTGCCCCATAATAGTGACAGTTAATAAATGGCATCCATCATTTCTGTCATCTGATCACTATTGCGGCGCCTTGGGAGTGAGCATGGAGTCTGAGTTGTGCAATGGAACCCTCAAAAATGGGCCCTGAGTCAGCTGCACAAGTGCAGAGAAGCCTGTGGCCTTTCTCCTCATCCCAAACTTGGGGTGCTGGATGCAGAATGGACTGCAAGCAGCTGTGCCCTGTTTGGACATTAGTGTAGGAATCCACCTGCATAGCCTGTATTTGTTTCAAAAAAGAATTTGGAGCTATTCTAGTAGCTCAGTGTGATATTTTTAAATAAATAGAGAAAAATTTTATTAACTGACTTAACCAAAAAATACTGCCTATTCAATTCATTTAATATTGTTTAAGGAGTATCTACAAAATCCTGACCTCAGTGTTTTCTTGCAAAACAAGTGGAAGTAAGGACAGAGACCCTTTCAAATGAAGAATCACTGAGAAACAAAATATTTATAAGTAGTATAACATTTACTTATGCACAGTTTTAAAGATTATATCATAATCAATTTGCATCAGGCTCTCCAATTTAGGAACACTGAGAGGATTTCCCTGTAGGGGAAGTTTTCATATAAATGTTGAAGAAATTGTTAAAACTGAAAACTTTTCCGTATTTGATAATCTACTGGGGTTCCAATCCAGTGTGCTGTCTTATATTTATAAGGTCTATCTCCAGTATGTGTTATCATGGGTCTTGGAGCAAGTATCATGTAAACGAAGGCATTTCCACATTCTTTACATTCATAGGTTTTATTTCAAAAATGAGTTCTTATCTTCATGTGGAACTGGAACAATTGAAGACCTTACCACAGATGTTTGTATTTATAAGGGTTTTCTCCATTGAATCCTTTCATGTTTTTAAAGAAATGAAAAAGCTGAAGGATTTACCATGTTTCTTAAGATTATGTCATTTTTCTCCATATTAAATTTGAATATGTCTTTGAAAGCACATGGGAAAATCAAGTTTATTAACACAGTTTTTACATTCATGTTTTTGTTTTTCTAAGTTTTCAGAGAGAACTGGGAAAGTTGCATGCTTTCTTGTATTTCTTAGACAGTAGGGTTCTGTACAGTGTGAGTTCTTTCATGTGTTCTAATAAACTAGAGCACATGGTGATTTTACCACATTTCTTAACATGAAATAATGTTTTTGAACTAACATTGTCCTGGGTTGGTTTTGTTGTGTTTCTCCTTCCCCAGGAATGAGTTAGAAAGGCAATTCTTGAAGCTAATTAATTATAATATCAGCATTACTGGCAGTCTTATAGCAGACTCTACTTCGATCTTCGCACCTTGGCACACGACAACAGCCTGTATTCTCCAGTTTATCTTCTTGACAGAGAAAGAGCATGGAAGCTGGAGGTAAGGCTACGAAGTTACTAAGTGGGTTTTCAGTCAAACACCAATGCCAACATCTGTGACTAGGTCATATTAAGTAGTGATTAGAAAAATGGAAAGCTTCAAAATTAACTAACATACTGAAGAGCTTATTACGTTTTTGGCATTCTATTTCCTGTATCTTTTATGGTTTTTACAAGGATCCACATTATTGGAAAATTATAGGTATTATCTTCTCTTTTGTGACCATAATTCAGAATATTTTAGTCAAATTTAGTTCATGTGTAATCTTTCCCTTGTGAACCTTTACCTTTTCAAATAATCATACATAAATGATTTCTTGTTACTGTATTCTGAGCAATGTCTACATACATAATGCACTTACCACTCGACTATTTTTTATTATTCAGTTTGCAAATTTATGTCATTTTCTACTGTACATACCACAGTGCAATCAGTCCCATAGGTTTGTTAGACAAAGCATTAGTGCCTAAGCCGAGAAACCTGCACTTAGACTGTATAAGGTGTGTGTGTCTCAAGTACTGGATGCAGAAAGTTCATGGGATTTTACCGGAAATGATAAAATTTATGGGACAAAGTAATATTTGTGGTTTGTGACTTTTGGTAAGTACACATCAAAGTTACAGCTGACAAGGATGAACATTTAAAATAGGCATGTTCTGTGGTACCTTGGAAGTATTTTAAAATAATACATTTTTTATCATAATTAATGTGCAAGTGAAGTAGTGCCTTTTGATGCTTTAGTCATTAGACTTCTTTGATATTCCAATACAATCCAGCCCATGCCTGCATCGTTAAAATTTGCTTTGAATTATATAATAACTACTATAGATTGGGTAGAGTTTGAAGAGATTAATAAACTAGCTTTTCGCAAAAGTGTACATTCATCATGTTTAAGGAACAAGTACACAGGTAACAGATGATACTGCTCTTAGAAGCCTGTCACAATACTGTGACATCTTTGGGAGCCCAATTTTTAAGTAACTTAATAAAACAAGTTCCCCTTTGCTCCAGCAATCTAATTCTAGCCCTGAAAGGAGATTACGGTAGTGAGTTGACAGAACTTGGCAGTGTAAACATCAGCCAAGTAGCTATAACTGGGCCTGGCGCTGTGGCTCATGCCTCTAATTCCAGCACTTTGGGAGGCCGAGGTGGGTGGATCACGAGGTCAGGAATTCAAGACCAACCTGGCCAAGATGGTGAAACCCTGTTGCTACTAAAAATATGAAAATTAGCTTGGCATGGTGGCGGGTGCCTGTAATCCCAGCTACTCGGGAGACTGAGGCAGAGAATTGCTTGAACTTGGGAGGCGGAGGTTGGAGTGGGCCAAGATTGTGCCATTGCACTCCCGCCTGGGCGACAGAGCAAGACTCCTTCTCAAATAAATAAATAAATAGTAAAAAATATAAAAAAGCAGCTGTAACTGAACTATTTAAAGGAGTTGCATGTGTGGCTTATCATCAGTGGTGACTGTTAAAAAGTTGGAACCCTTTTTAAAATTGTACCTCTTTTCTATTTGAAATTCTTAGGTTTTTTCAAGGATGGAACAACATAAAGTTTTCTATAGTGCTGCCAAGAACGGGTCTTTGAGTGCTGGTGATTTAATTCATCTTCAGCGTGCTAAGGCCATCCTCTTCTGAAGGAAGAAATGAGGGGTAATGTAACATCTGAACCCCTCATCAAAAAAGATGGGAAAATATCACTTCTCCTGGCTAAAAAACTAGAAAAGTTGGTATTTTCAAAAGAAGAAACACCTCAATTCAAGTAAACTCAAGGACAACTAAGATTGTACTTCATAGTAAAGAACGGGACCTTGTCAGGGTAACAACACACCCTTACACTATTCTGTCCTGTTTAATGTATACAGAGTTATAAAAACCACTCCAAAGTGAAGACTCCTTCTGCCCACGCACAGATATTTGCTTAGTGTGTGAGCTGATAGCTGTGATCTATGTGAGACTTTTAAAACAATAGCTTAACTTTTTAGATTTTAAAGATAACTTTTCTGTTTATGTTTTCTCTTTTCCCCAATATTGCTGCATATGCATTTGGAATCAGTGCAGTATCACTGTTAAAACATGGGAGTCTAACAACTCCTAAAGCCACTAGGAGCAGACCCAGAATTGTCAGGTATGGAAGGGCTCTTCCTTCCTACTTTTACCAGTAACTACTAGTTACTGGTGATTATCAAGCAAAAGCTGCCAGATAACGTTTGCCATTCACATCCTTTGTAAGCCCTTCTTATTAGCAGTTTAGCATGTTTGGGGTCATAAAAAGAGAAAGTATTGGTTATTGATTATCTACTTTTATGAAGGTCTGTGTGTATTTCTTGTGAACTATAATGGTTCTCATTTGCTGATAAATTTGCTTATTGTCAAGTAAATGTATTCAAAGATGTTTTCATAGTGCCAAGCAACATGATGATCCAGTGGTTATGTAAAAATAATAAAATATGAAGTGTCCTGAAAGTTTCAGGGCAGTTTTTAGCTTTAATATAGTGTGCCTGGGCCCTCCAGAGGACTGCAGCATATATGTACATGCTGTAAATCTTTACAAAATATCATTTGAAAGTGTAATTGTATTTCTTCTTTTTATTTTTAATAGATGGTGCCTCACTATATTGCCCAAGTTACAGTGCAATCAGAGACACAATCATAGCGCACCACAACCTGAAAACCCTGGCCTCAAGCAATCTTCCCATGTCAGTCTACCAAGTAGCTGGGACCATAGGTGTGTACCACCGCCTCTGGCTTTATTTTGCAGAATTTGAATGTTAAGCTTTTAACTTTTTGTTTCAGTCAATACCTGCTATCTTCAAGAAGGGCTGAAATGAAAAATCAAAATCTTAATATTCAGGAGCTAGGCATGCTTGTAGTCCCAGCTACTCACAAGTCTTAAATGGGAGAATCACTTGAGGCTCAGCCTTGGAGGCTGCAGTGCGCTGTGATTGTGCTTCTAAATAGCCATTGCACTCCAGCCTTGACAACATAATGAGACCCTGTCACTTTAAAAAATGGCAAAACTAAATAAACGTAAAAGAAATAACAACAAGTTTTTCAATGATGTTTTGTAAATGTTTGTAGCATTGTTACTTCTACAAGTATCAAAGCTTAAAATTACACTAAGAATTTTGGAATTCTTGTGTTTTACTTTTCTCTTGTACAGTAGCTCTTTGCAGGGCTTTTATCTACATTGATCACCTCAAATTATTTTCCCTAGATATGATAAAGAGGAGGATCTGTGTTAATTCACATGTAACTAATTAGAAGGAATTGGACCCTAACAGCAGTAGGTGATATAATACATTTTATTATCCCACGTGTTAACCTGGGTGCAGGTATCATATTTCATGTCCTGCTATTTAAAAAGAACGTCCATAAACCTTAGGAACCCCACCTCCTGAAAAATATCATTTATGGAATGCAGAGCTTAGAGATTGAAGTATTGATTGCAGTTTTATTTTCAAAAGATAAATGCTACAATTGATGTGGTTTTCATTTCTCATGTTTATATTAAAAGAAAACCGAGTAAACTATTTAATTAAAATGTGGCAAGTGTGTTTATAACACTTCTATTCACATAGTGTTCTCTCTGCCTAACTTAAATGGTTTAAATCAGTCTTGATATGTCTTAAAGCATTTTTGTAAGTTGCCTTGACCATACACAAGTTGGTTTAATCCATGCCTGTATTTAAGATGTAGTATTTGTTTTCTCTATTTTTTTTTTTTCTTTTTTTTTGAGACAGAGCCTAGCTCTGTTGCCCAGGCTGGAGTGCAGTGGCATGATCTCGGCTCACTGCAACCTCTGCCTGCTGGGTTTAAGCAATTCTCCTGCCTCAGCCTCCCGAGTGGCTGGGACTACAAGCGCATGCCGCCACACACAGCTGATTTTTTGTATTTCAGTAGAGACCGGGTTTCACTGTGTTGCCCAGGCTAGTCTCAAACTCCTGACCTCAGGCAGTCCACCCGCCAGGGCCTCCCAAAGTTCTAGGATTACAGGCGTGAGCCACCATGCCCGGCCTTCAATTTTAAGATAATTTATTACACTTAAAATAACACTTTGGCCACAATACTTAGTGGCATAATGCATTAGATGGCATCTTTGAATAGTTGATTATTGTGTCTGAGAGGAAAAACACATTAGAATATGAAATTAGGTAAATACACCAAAGAGAAAGGATTTCCAGGAATAGTGTAGAATTAGAATGAGGGTGTTTGAAGTTTTCAGTTACACAGAAAAAAAAATGGAAGTACAGAAAGTAGAATTAAAGTTGCTGTGCAGAGGGTGACTTAAACCACATAATTTGACTTTAGCATACTGTTTTCAAGCTTACATTTTAGTTAAAAATAAATGACTGGTTTTTTTTTTTTAGAATTAAAATTCTAGCCACACAGCTTCAGTGATTCTCACTAAATCCTGATAATATTGGTATATTTTTATTCATTTTAATTATTTAGTACCTAAGGTAAAATCTTCAACTCATCACCATATCTTGATAAACTGCAAACTAGAATCAATGATCTGTATTAAACTTAGAAGAAAAAGTGTATGATGAATCCTTGTTTATAAGATGGTTTGCACCTTATGATATGCCATTAACTAAGTAGAAGTCCTGACATATATAAGTGGTCAAAGATTTAAAAACCAGTTTGGCAGAGGGACACTGGACATAAATTTATGACTTCAAGAGTAAGTCAGGGTTGCGCGCAGTGGCTCAGGCCTGTGATCCCAGCAGTTTGGGAGGCTGAGGTGGGCAGATCACTTGAACCCAGCAGTTCAAGACCAGCCTGGCCAACATGGCAAAACCCCTTCTCTACTAAAAATACAAAAATTAGCCAAGCATGGTGGCAATTGCTTATGGTCCTAGCTCCTCGGGAGACTGAAGCACGAGAATTGCTTGAGCCTGGGAGGCAGAGGTTGCGGTGAGCCATGATCATGCTTGCACTCCAGCCTGGGCGACTTTGTCTCAAAAAAAAAAAGAATAAATCAATAGTATAAGGAACACTAACATTATTCTCTCCTTTGGCTTGAATTCTAGAAAGGAATACAGTCATTTAGATAAATGAAAAATTGGGTCAGCTTAGAATAAGAATATAAATGTCACTGAGTGGGCAGGTTCTCCAACAAATGTCATGGGGCATGGAAACTAAGTTGCTAGTAGGTGGTAATTATGGCAGTTTTCTTAGAGTTTGATACCTGGGAAAGATTAGTTCTTTAACATATGACTATGAAAAGGATTATCTGAGTACCAAAGCTCTAATTTACTTTCACTCTTTGGGTTATTTTAACATTGGTAATACAGACACAAGTGAAATTTTACTCTGGTAGAGCGTGAACTAACACTTCACATCTTCATTACAAGGAAAAGACAAAGATCTGAAATATGTATTTGAACCAAGTGAAATGGCCATTTTTGTAGCACAAAAGCAGTTGCCTACTGGCAGTTTTATATAGTTCATTCTGAGATGAACTATCTAATCTTAGGGCTCAATGTTTCTAGAGAAATTTTATTCTGGTCTTTTATTCACATTTTCTTTTTATGTAACCTAGATGCCCATACATTACTGAAATCAAACAACACTAAATCCTGATTTTACTACAACTCAAGGTTCAGTTTTTTGATGTAGTTTTCCCACATTTCCAAATACACTATTCCTTGGTTTAAAAAAAAACATGCCAAAGCCAATCTTAACCAAAAACCAAATTACTATTGATTCTGTATTCAGGTTATGCAGTGTTTCCAGAAACTAATTTTGCTACAGTATGCTGGTTAGCTAGAATCTTTCATCACCCCAGTCCTTTCCCTAACCACATTTAAGATTTCTGTGGCTTCATTTTTTCCTCACACAGCATGCTTGAATATGGAACTGTATCTTTGACAGCTGGCAGAGAAATTTCCCAGGTAAGTGCTAGTTTCTATGCAAATTTGTAGAGAACACCCAGAATCTATCAAGTTAAGGATTAGATGACCTTAAGTCTAACTGCCACTTATTTACCCAGTTGGGCCCAACATTGTGCCAGCAAGCAATGCAAAAGATCTAGGAACCCTTCACTGAAGCCTGCCCCCTACGACACAGGTTTCTAAGGCAATTTCTACTGAACTCTTTTTTTTTTTTTTTTTTTTTGAGATGGAGTCTAGCTCTGTTGCCAAGGCTGGAGTGCAGTGGCGCAATCTCAGCTCACTGCAACCTCCACCTCCCAGGTTCAAGCGCTTCTCCTGCCTCAGCCTCCCGAGTAGCTGGGATTACAGGTGCCTGCTGCCATGCCCAGCTAATTTTTGTATTTTTGGTAGAGACAGAGTTTCACCATATTGGCCAGGCTGGTCTTGAACTCCTGACCTTGTGATCCGTCCACCTCGGCCTCCCAAAGTGCTGGAATTACAGGTGTGAGCCACTGCGCCTTGTGAGTATTGAACTCTTTTAAATGCATTTGGCAAGTGACAGAACATGTACTTAATGTGAAATTTAAGGAATATCAGCTTGTGGTTTAGGATTTCTAGGGTACAGAAAGAACAACTAACTGGGAAAGAAAAATGGTATAGACATTATAAGAATCTTGAGTCCAGTGAAAAATGGTTAACATTCTTTAAAAAGGAACAGGTTAGATGACTCTTATAATTGGTGTAAGGAAGCTGAGCAGTTGACTGTGATTAGGAAAACTCAGTGATAGTCCCAGAACCTAAGGTCTTTAATAAAATATGAGTGGTATCTCCTTCAAAAGACTTCCATGGATTCCCAAAATAAGCTGCTGGCTTCTTTAAAAATATATATTGCTTCATCTTCACCATCTCAATTCTACGAAACTTTACCTGTCACCTCAAGCTGGTGACTCCTATGTCTCTTCAGTGTGAAAACCGACTCACAAGCAGAGCTTCAAGTGTGTTATCCACCTCTTCTTCCAGCCCGTTTCACCCAGGACCCTTAGAATCCTCCTCAAACAAAATCGATTATCCCAGCCTCACCCTTGCCTTTTCTGCTACTTTCCAATGTGGCAGTGCTTGATGTCTGTCATCATGACCCAGTGCCAAAGCGTTAGCACCAGGTTCTGGAACATGCAGGTTGTATGTAGCTTGCAAGCTAACTGACCCCTTGTAATTTCCTTTATGTGAGCCCTCTGTGTGCGTTCTCTGAAACACCTGATTTGCAACCAATTTGCTGCACTTGCTGATTCTGACCTACTCACAACCCTAATCATGTATTCTCAATCTAGCCTGAGGATGAGGTTGTACCCCTTCCTTCCAACACCTGTTTTCTTTGTCATTAATGCCTTGTTCTGAAGGTAACCCCCTCTCATCTAATGGAGAGGATTCCATCTCTACCTCTAAAATCAGCCTTCTATAGTCATCTCCTCCACCAATTCTCCTCTTCAAAATTGTATTTCACCTCCCCAAACTGGGGATGCAGCAATTTTGGTTCGTTCCTCTAAAGGTCCCAGTGTTTTTCAAGACGTGATCCCCACCCACCTCCCTCTCATTAGCTGAAAGAGGTTGTGAAAAATGCAGCTTCTCTAAATGCAGCATGGTATCCTTGATTTGATCCTGTGACAGATAAAGAACATGAGTGGAAAACCTGATGAAGTCTGGAGTTAGTAGGAATGTGCCAACATTGATTTTTTAGTTTTAACAAACGTACCATGTCAATACAAGATGTTCACATTAGTGGGGAACTGGTAAGGGCATACAGAAACTGAGTTATTTTGGTGACTTTTTAAAGTTTCTTTTTATAAAATAGCCTTTTGGACCCCAGAACTAATGAATCTTAATTCCTGGGACTAAGGCCTGGGAATCTAAAATTGTAACACATATCCTAAATGATTCTTAGATTCCAAATGAAATCCTTGTCTTGTCAATTTCCTTTTATTTCTTGCCTGAACAGTTGCCTCTCCCTTGTTTCACTTATCTTAACCTGCGTTAATCCTTGAACTCTTCTGAATCCCAGGATTTAAGTAGTTATCTGTTTTTCCCAGATGAGAAAACTGAATACTAAGAGGTGGCGTTTCCAGGATCAGGATCATAGAGCTCATAAAAGGTGAAGCTGGGACTTATATTCCCAATCAGCCTGGCTCCCAAGTCTATGCTTACAGCCGCTCTGCATCAACCCTATTTCTTCTATTCATGATGAGCTCAAGAACTCTGTAACTAAATCAACAAAAAACACCATTCTCACCAATATTATCCTGGGCCCACCTATTTCTCCACCTTTTTAAGTCCAGCAGTCCCTCTTGCTTCATTCAGCATGTGGACTTTGCCCTTTCCCTTCTTTTTTTTCTTTTTTTTTTTTTTTTTTGTTTGTTTGTATTTGTTTTTATTTTGAGACAGAATCTCGCTCTGTCACCCAGGCTGGAGTGCAGTGGCGTGATCTCTGGTCACTGCAAGCTCCGCCTCCTGGGTTCACGCCATTCTCCCGCCTCAGCCTCCCAAGTAGCTGGGACTACAGGCGCCCGCCACCACGCCCGGCTAATTTGTTTTGTATTTTTAGTAGAGACCGGGTTTCACTGTATTAGCCAGGATGGTCTCGATCTCCTGACCTCGTGATCTGCCCGCCTCGGCCTCCCAAAGTGCTGGGATTATAGGCGTGAGTCACCGCGCCCGGCCCTCTTCTTTTCCACTGGGGGAAAATGAGCAATGGGAAAGCATGGGGAAGATGTGCTGATGAGAGCCCTGCAGGCAGAAGGTGTAAGGTGCAGTTGCCCTTCTCTCAGGACTCAGCTCAACAACTATATTTTCTAGTCTGCCTCTCCCAGCTGCTTTAACTCACATACTAATGTAATGAAGTTCACAGCACCTGCCTTGACATGAAATTACACGCTCTCATATATTACTAATTCACTTCTCACTAGATTTATGTGGTCTCCCTGAAACACTTTAAGCTCCTAATTACAGAGTCATGTCTCCCACATACTATGTCTCAGAGTATGATGGAGAATGCTGACATACCAGGCCTTAAAGTGAGGTGGTGTTGGTAGATTGGTGGCCAATCCTTATTTTGCCAAAGCAGCAGTCGGCAAAAGGTGGTGTGAAAATAGCACCTCAGGCTCAGTAAGCATCTGTTTAGATTACCAGGTAGAAGCCAACTCTCAGTTTGTACCTGGGCTTCCTGATGTGGACTTACAGCTCAGCAGCAAGTTGTGGATCCAACAGCTGAATAGAAAAGTTTTGGGAGTTTCTGTCTTCCAACTAGATGCACAAAAAAGCATCGTGTCTATTCAGATTGTTTCACCATAAATGGAGCATTTATAAAATGGAAGGAAATCTCGGGCAATGACTGTTTTTCCACGTATCTCAATTTCTTCAAGTGGATCATGAAACAATAACAGGATTGCTAGGAAAAACCTAGGAAGTATATTCAATTAAAGCATATTTTAAATAGTTCTGCTCCTGTGATTGAAATTTGCTTGAGTAATACAATTTTTGCTGCTTACATTTTAAGTACATTTGAAAAATCTGATTCTAAAATTAAAATCCACATCACTCCTTACATATCCTTAGGAAGCAGTGTATCTCTGCATGCAAACATGAAGAGAAAGAGACTTCTATGGCATCTCTTTATTTTCTTTGCTATCGCTTTAATACATTTTAAAATTAATGTACATTAATTGGGAACAAATAAACAAAAGCACATTTCTTTTTGTCATAAATAACTAATCTCCATATTTAACAAAAATCTTAAATCATTATTTTACCTTCCTACAAATACAATACATGCAAAACTTTTTTTGCAAATAATAAAGTTAACAGAAATATATGGGACTAACATAACATACAGCTGCCATTCTACTGACTCTCAGGAACAAAATAAAAACTTACCAAGATGCTCTGGGTTTTCTTTTGTTAGTGTTAAAACTTCAGATTTATAATCTCATCTATATTGTATAGATTTTAGCCACGATAATGTCCACCTGTGGTACATTGTCAAAAACAATGGGACTTCATGTTGGTTCAAACTGTATGTATAGTATGTACATTTTGTGGGTGTGTATCTACAGAATATATATAATGTAGATGAGAGATTTAGTGACTTTTGATATGAGTTTGTTTCAGGTAGATTACTGAGGCCAAGTGAGGTACATACTAATTCAGTAGTTTAAATGCAGGCATTCAATACTCTTTATGATGTCCAGATATGTATAGTACCTGTCCCATGCAGTGTACGCACTGTCATGTTAAATCCAGAACTTACACATCAGAACCAGTGATATTTTATTTGTAGACAATCAACTTGAATCTTTAAATTATTACTGGCAGGTGATTATAAATCTGCTTTACCCTTTATCTAAACAGCTAAATCCTTGTGGCATTAAGATTTTCTTTCTACAATTCCAGTTTCTATTTCTTGGAGACACATTGCTGATCAGCCAATTGAATGGTGATATTTAGGAAAAAGACAGAAATAATTCCTACCATCTGAATTTTTTCAGAATTGGGAAAGGAGAAAAACTATCCCCAAAGACAATGAAAATCCATTCTAGCAAGATGGTGCAATGACCTGCAAAGAAAAATGCACTCCAGGCACACCCGGGGGCACAGTGCAGAAGTTCTTCAGAGGGTGGTCACTAAGTACTTCAATGAGTAGAATAGGGGTGGGAGGATCCATATGATAGGATATCAGACTTGACACTAGAGTCAGGTGTATTAACATTCCAGCCAGTACTGCCACACCCTGAGTGTGTCATCTTGAAAAGATTTGTTTTCTTATTTCAACTTGCATTTTTATTAAGTATACAATGCATTTTATTGACAGAGCTTGAAAGATAGGAAAATATTCTCAAAAAAACACAAGAATGTGACTATCAGAAAAAATCTAATGATATATTTAATTTGTTAAAAATTCCTATTTTTATTTGTTCTTCTCCTGAGAATGTGTAGTAAGTATCTGAGGTTTGTACCTTCCGGGGGTGGTTTCAAGCAGAATCTCAGGGCTTAGTTTTAGGGGTATTACTGGGTAAGAAGGAAAAATTCTTTTCCTTTACCTGCAGAGGAATTAATACAGTTCCACAAGAAATTGTGATAGATCAATTGGTGATTTCAAAAAAAAAAAAAAAAAATCAGTTTCTTTTTTCTGTAGGGCAGAGTATTTGTGATAGTGGATAAATCTATTCTGTAGGTGGGTGCGGTGGCTCAAGCCTGTAATCCCAGGGGAGGCTGAGGTGGGTGGATCACCTGAGGTTAAGAGTTCAAGATCCGCCTGACCAACATGGAGAAACCCCATCTCTACTAAAAATGCAATGTTAGCCAGGGGTGATGGCACACATCTGTAATCCCAGCTACTCAGGAGGGTGAGGCAGGAGAATAGCTTGAACCCAGGAGGTGGAGGGTGTGCTGAGCCAAGATCACGCCATTGCACTCCAGCCTTGCAACAAGAGTGAAACTCCATCTCAAAAAACAAACAAAAACCAAATGAATAACCTTGACTGAAAATCAGAGACCTGAGCCCGCTGACTGCAGGCTAAGGCCAATCTTGACCTGTCAAAGGAGTTCATGAATAGTATAGTCATTTCTTCTTGGGGAGCTTTCACGACAGCTGTCCCAGTCTGCTCAGAGCAGCCATTGAAGGAGCTTTATATTGAGTGAAGCTACAGAGCCTGGGAAAGCTGGGAATGCACAGGCAGACATGGTGAGAGTTGAGATGGGAGGCGGGTTGTGATGTCCTCTGTGAGGGTGTGATTGTTATTCTCCTGAGGCTGTTTCTCGAATACTGTCAAATAAATTCAGAAGTAGGTAAAAAGTGACTTTATTCTAAAGGAGTATTGGAATGGGGAGAGCATCAAGCATCAAATCTACAAGCATCTCAAAAGGGGCAGAAAAGGGCTGTGTTTCATATGAAGGAGCAAACAAGATTAGAAGGAAGGTGGTAGGAAGAGAGGAGAATGGAGAATGGCAAAATCAGATTCAAGGGTAGAGAATGTTTTGCCCTAAAGTCAGCCTTTTCTTAGGAGGGGCATAAAGGTGGGGTGTGTGTTAGCTCAGACTGAAGGTGGAGCAGAGTCCAGGAGCCTGAGGAAAGGAGAGAAACTTAAAGTTTGTTTAACAAGTATTTTGTTCTGAACACCGAAGATAAAATTATTTGTTTATGAAAGAAAAATGAGAATTTAGAGTTTGTGCATCTGTGATATCTAAAAGAGGAAGCATCATCTAAAGTCATAATAAAAAGGGTATTTATTTGCAGTAAGCTGTTCCTGCAAAACACAAAGGATGGAGAGTTCTTAATCGTGGCCGTTTACCAATATTTACTACCCACCACATCTTTCCCTTTCACAAAGTAAAGTGATGTCCTATCATTTTTTTTTCCTGTACAGTTTTTTCCATTTGGTTTTTCTGAGTCGTATCCTATATAATAACCTGGTAAACACAGGTAAAATTTCTCTGCTAAGTTCTGTGAGTAGTTTTATCAGATTATTAAACTTGAGCCAAGGGGGTTATGGAAGCCTATGATTTATGGACAGTAGCTCAGAAATATAGATGGAATCGCTGGAACCCAGGAAGCAAAGGTTGCAGTGAGCCAAGATCGCGCCATTGCACTCCAGGGTGACAGAGTGAGACTCTGTCTCAAAAATAAATAAATATATTAAATAAAACATTTTACATATTTTAAAATCTTGTTTTAAGCAATTATTTGTAATTTTGTTAATATCAAAGACCCACCTGTAGAAAAAGTTTTGTAATTTTCTTCTTAATCATACCCAACTAAATTATACAACTCTGTTTTCTAAAAAAAAAACTAAAGTTCCTATTAACTAATCTGATTACAGTTTACATAGTTGATTCAAAATATGCTTAGACTTTGTGTTTCACCTAAATATTTCTCTTTCTTGGACAACCCAGTCATTTTATTTTAGGACAAAAAAATTTACCATACAAAATTCCTTCTTACATAAAATTGCTTTTTTTACCTTCTTTATCAAAAATACCTGTTTATATCTTAAACTTTCTTTACATCTCTTATTTCTTGGTTCCTTTTACCTCATTTTATACATAATTTTTATAGAAACTTTGAATTAGACAAAAATATTTACCTTTTAATAACATTTAAAAATGTTTTCCTATATTTTTCAAGTTGGAAATTACTCAGCTACTTAATCTCTATTAATAACCTTAGATTCCCAATCATATGGCAAGTCTGTTTACAAGTATTTATTCCATTACATTTACAAAATTATTTAATATTTTACCTAGATTATTTATGAAAACTGTGATAGTCATTATTTAAGGTAAATTCCCTGTTAACTATTTTTATAGCTGTGAATTTCAGGTGTTTATTTAAGTAATTTTCTTAAGGCTAAATATAAGAGTATTTTTACTAATAACTCAGAATTTAGCTGTCTTCATTAAACCAACATATTCCATGTCTTATCAAAAATTACACAAGCAAAGATCATTCTGTCTTGGGCTGGGTTTTATAGTTTTATAACCCTTATGACAAATCTTATAGTATTCTGCAGGAATAAGCATGAAATCACTTGATCAACACATACAAACAGACCGGGCACAGTGACTCACACCTGTAATCCCAGCACTTTGGGAGGCCAAGGCGGGCAGATCACCTGAGGTCGGGAGTTCGAGACCAGACTGACCAACATGGAGAAACCCCGTCTCTGCTAAAAATACAAAATTAGCTGGGCATGGTGGCACATGCCTGTAATCCCAGCTACTTGGGAGGCTGAGGCAGGAGAATCACTTGAACCCGGGAAGCGGAGGTTGTGGTGAGCTGAGATTGCACCATTGCACTCCAGTCTGGGCAACAAGAGTGAAACTCCATCTTAAAAAAAATGCTAATAATTCTTACCTTTCTAATATTATTTTGTCAATAATTTGAAAGCCACCTTATTTATAAAAGATTTTACTTAAGTCACATGAACTTGAAAAAGCATTTGACTAGTCTTTTTTATGATATAATGGTTGATTTATGTACTTTTATTTTTCTTTAAACAAATTAATTAGAACTATTTATAGTAGGGAAACATTGTGTACACAACACATAAATACATAAACCTATTAGCTACGCTGACAGAAGTATGTCTTATAGATTCATAAGACCTCTTTTTTTTCCTATTTGAGACTTTTAAATTTTTTTATCTTTTTATTTTTGTTTTTTATTTAAATAGATTTTTGGTGAACAGGTGGTATTTGGTTACATGGATATGTTCTTTAGTGGTGATTTCTGAGATTTTGGTGCACCCATCACCTGAGCAGTGTGCACTACCCAATATGTAGTCTTTTATCCCTCACCCACCTCCTACCCTTTCCCCCAAGTCCCCAAAGTCTATTGTATCATTCTTATGCCTTTGCATCCTCATAGCTTAGCTCCCACTTATGAATGAGAGCACATGATGTTTGGTTTTCTATTCCTCAGTTACTTCACTTAGGATAATGGTCTCCAGTTTCATCCATGTTGCTATGAATGCCATTATTTTGTTCCTTTTTATGGGTGAGTAGTATCCTTGGCATAAATGCAGTCTAGGGAACTCCAAGGCTACTGAGTGTAAGTGGGATAGAGACATGCATGAGAGTGGATAATTCTTATTCTCTAGGCCCTCCCTGCTTCATGAGTGCAAGCTGCTTTGGCACTTATGAGCGGCACCTGCCAAGGTTGCAAGGACTCAGGGATGGAAGGACGGAAGAGGGAAAGAGGACATTCTTCCTTCTCTCCCTCATGTACCCTGGGCATATCTACTAGGAAAAGAAGGGAACCAGGTGTGCCTGCTCCCCTCTTTCTAGATGGGTAGCCATTAATCTTCAGTCTATACCCCTTTCAAATGTATCCTGAACCCCTGGGACTCCTTTGAAAAAACATCTTTTCCTTTCTCCTTCTGTGTCCTCTTCACAGATAGGTAATTGTGTCTCCATACTGTGGGACATTTTCCTCAGTTGCATCCTCCAAACTGAGAAAAGTTGATTTCCCAAACCTTAAACTGGTTGGCTTAGGACTGGGCTTAGGTGAAGGGAACCAGAAGCCCAACATGCTGGCCAAAGGGTCAAGTTTTTTACCAGTTGAGCTTTTGGCCTCCCTCTCCCTGTGCAAACTGGTAAAAGGGACTTTTGAACTGTCCTTACCCCTCCTCTTGTTTTGTTTTGTTTTTTTTCACCATGTTGGCCAGGATGGTCTCAATCTCTTGACCTCATGATCCACCTGCTGCAGCCTCCCAAAGTGCTGGGATTACAGGTGTGAGTCACTGTGCTTGGCTTATTTTGTTTTGATACATGTTTTCTAATAACGTGCTATGTCTTTTCTCACCTTCAGCCATCAAACTTTGGATGTACATGCAGCTGGAGCCTTGGACAATGGCCCCTTCTCCCAGGGACCCTTAGATAGGCCTCTGAGGGGACTCTGAGTGCTGTTTTCCCAAAACTGCCCCTGACAGATGGAAGCAGTATCCTTATTCTAATGGCAGTTAGATGTGCTTCTTTAGAGGGAGGAATGAGGCAGCTGAGTATAAAGGGGTCATCAGAGAACCTCCAACTGGCCTGCACAATGGGAGAAGTGTGCACTGGGGTGGAGCCCCGGGAAGTTCGCTGTGTTTATAGTGGGGAGCCTGGCCCCTTTCCTGCCTGGGTGGAACCTGGAATTCAATCTGTGAGGCAGGAAGCCGATGCTAGCATGACTCTCACACTGCTGAGGGTCCCTGGTTCCCCTTTATCCTTTTTGCTTAATAAATTCCACTTTTCTCACCCTTCGAAGTGTCTGTGAGCCTAATATTTCACGACTGTGTGATGAGGACCCCGTCTTTAGTCTGGAATGTTTTACGTTGGACATTTATGCCCTATCATCCATGCATACCTGATGAAGAATCACCACAACAAAAAAGATAGCTCTTTAAATTTTATTTCAAGATGAATAATTGAAATAATTTTAATGTTTTTATTTCCAACACTTGACACTAGTGCTGGCTTGTTATTGAAGAAATAGTGATTGAGCATTTAATATCGCTTATTTGGAACATATATAGAAAATGGTTCCCAGTGGCCGGGTGCGGTGGCTCATGCCTGTAATCCCAACACTTTGGGAGGCCAAGTCAGGTGGATCACGAGGTCAGGAGTTCAAGACCAGCCTGGCCAACATGGTGAAACCCTGTCTCTACTAAAAATACAAAAATTAGCCGGGTGTGGTGGTGGATACCTGTAATCCCAGCTACTCAGGAGGCTGAGGCAGGAGAATGGCTTGAAACCAGAAGGCGGAGGTTGCAGTGAGCCTAGATCCTGCCACTGCTGCACTCCAGCCTGACAACAAGAGCAAAACTCCGTCTAAAAAAGAAGAAGAAAAAAAATAAAAAAGGAAAATGGTTCCTGGTCTAAAGAAAACCTTTGTAACCCCCTTTACAAAAACAAAGATTTTATTTGTTTATATCTACCTTATAACAATTTCAAGCAGATCTGACATTCTTGAATAACTTCTAACTTTATTATTGGCCTGATTCTCTATGATTGTGAGAGAATAAAAATGAAAAAAAAAAAATTATATATTCTGGTCTGAAAAAGTTGTCTCTACAATTTTTTTAACTTAGAAGTTTCAAGCTTCTTGTCTTCATTGTATTTTTAAAGATATTTTTTGAACTTAAAATTTTTACTGAAATTGCCCCTTTTGAAGACACTAGTTAGGGATAAAATTTTTGTAATTTAATCATTCATTATTAGGTTCACTACAGAGTCAACCATTCATTACTTTGTGCTGGCATATTTTGGGAAACATATTATTAAGTTAGATTTTAAATAATTTTGATGTATTTCTAAAGTAAGGATTTTGAAACATGAGATACATTTAATAAATTGCTATGGTGTTGAGATATTTTATAAACCAATTTAATAACTTAATAGTTTTAAAAGTTTTAAATAAAATTAAAAAAATGAGTATGACACAGAGTATCAAACATTGTCCAATGTTCGAATATAATGGAGCAAATAGGAAAATTATGAGGATTAGTTTTCCTTTTATATTTGTGTTGACAAAGCTAAATAATCTAAATAATATCCTGCCATCTATTTTATCTTGATTAAAACTATGGGTGACTATAATTAAAATCAAATATATCAGAATTTCTACAAATATATTTTATTCTATGTCTTGTATTTCTTACAGGAATACATCTCCACTGACAATGCTGCATTCCCATTATCTATAATGAAAGAGTAAAATCTTGATCTCATAAATGGTTACTTAGTGAATGCAACATTGCTGCATTATTATGATTATTTCATGGATTTGTTAGCCTATTTGTATTTTGTTATAATTTAGACCCTACAGTATTGACTGTACTCACCACAATGCATTAGGAATAAAACACATTTATTCTCAAATAATGTAACAAAAAGAAATAAGCAAAGCACAATTTTCAAATTATCTTTCTTTAGGCTAGAAACTACAATTTCCTAAAATCCTTCTCTGGTCTCATGTAATGCATCATCAGCTTGTGGGGCAAAAATGTAATGTTATTTGTTCTTTCCAAATAATATTTTCTAACCAAATATTTTTACTTTTGTTTTTTATTTTTCATTATCTCAGCTTTGGCAATAAAACAGCTCTATGAAGACCTGGGAAACAGGGAAATCAGACTTATGAGATCTATGGAATCTGATACTGTTTGACTGCAGGGGATTTCAATGTGCAAATGCTAAGTGCCACAAAGAGGTGGCAGGGCCTTAAAGGGCAATATTTACATAATTTTTTATTTTAAAAAATGCCACTTTTGAGTCAGGCATGGTGGCTCACGCCTGTAATCCCAGCACTTTGAGAGGTCGAGGCGGACAGAGCATGAGGTCAGGAGATCGAGACCATCCTGGCTAACATGGCGAAACCTCATCTCTACCAGAAATACAAAAAATTAGCTGGGCGAAGTGGCATGTGCCTGTAGTCCCACCTACTCGGGAGGCTGAGGCAGGGGAATCGCTTGAACCTGGGAGGTGGAGGTTGCAGTGAGCCGAGATCATGCCACTGCACTCCAGCCAGGGCAACAGAGCAAGACTCCCTCTCCAAAAAAAAAAAAGCCACTTTCATCTCAAAATGTAAAAAATCCTGGATGGCACCATAGTCTACAGATAGGGACAAATAAAGACTAAAAGAGTAAAATATACATGAAAGGTATACAACTTAGACAATTCTGGGTTTTTTATTACTTTGCGTATTTTACAAACTTATGCTTGGAAATTTTCTTCTGCTTCTAATCCCTCAAAGCACCTTTAAGAAAACAGCTCTACACCGGGCACGTTGGCTCACACCTGTAATCCCAGCACTTTGGGAGACTGAGGTGGGCGGATCACGAGGTCAAGAGATCGTGATCATCCTGGCCAAAATGGTGAAACCCCGTCTCTACTAAAAATACAAAAAATAGCTGGGGGTGGTGGCATGCCTCATTATACATCCGCCTCAGCCTCCCAAAGTGCTGGGATTACAGTGAGCCACCGTGCCTGGCCTGCCACATCATTTTCTAAAGTGGTTAGGTCATTTTACCTTCCAACTAGAAACGTGTTGAAGTTCCAGTTATCTCATATGTTCATTAACATGTAGTTTTGCCAATATTTACAGTCTTAGCCATTTTTGTGGATAGGGCATGAAGTAGTAAATTATGATGGCTTTAATTCTATATATTAAAGTATATTATTCATAAATATACTCATATTCCTCACAAATAATGAGTTTCAACAGCTTTGCAAATATTTATTGTATATTTGTATATCTTCTCTGGTGAAGTGTCTAATAGTTTGCTCATTGTTTTAAAGGTTATTGTCTTTATAGATGTACAGATGCATTGCATAACTTTCAGGTACAAACCTTGTGTCACATATCTGTGCTATAAGGAATATATCCCAGTTAATGACTTCTCTTTTTATTTCCTTAGCAGTAACTTTGATGAGCATGTTATAATTTTGATGGTTAATTAAATTTAACTTTTTGAAACAAAAGTTTAATTTCTGTGATCATGGTTATTGCTTTCTGAGTCTTGCCTAAAAAGTCTTTGACTATCCAGAATTGATGAAGATATTCTCCTATATTTTCTTCTAGAAATAACATGTATTTCTTTCTTTTGAGACAGAGTCTCACTCTGTAGCCCAGGCTGGAGTGCAGTGGCACGATCTCAGCTCACTGCCACCTGTTTCCCGGGTCCAAGCAATTCTCCTGTCTCAGCCTGCTAAGTAGCTGGGAATACAGGCACGTGCCACCATGCCCAGCTAATTTTTCTATTTTCAGTAGAGACAGGGTTTTGCCATGTTGCCCAGGCTGGTCTTGAACTCCTGACCTTAAGTGATCCTCCCACCTTAGCCTCTCAAAGTGCGGGGATTACACGCATAAGTCACCACGCCTGGCCTAATTTTAGTTTTTATGTTTACATCTACAATGATCTCAAATTAGCTTTTGTCTATGGGATAAGGTAGAGGTCTATATTCACAGTTTCAGTGTATTTATTCAGTTGTTCCAGCACCATTTTCTGCAAAGACTTCTATTTCTCTATCTTCTTGCCTTGGTTTTTGTTAAATTGATTGTTTATGGCTGGATCTATGTCTGGGCTTTCTATTCCGTTCCACTGATCTATATGTTCATTCTTGTGTCAATAACACACGCTCTGAATTACTGTACTTTTATTGTTAATCTTGTAGTCGTAAAAACCCTCCAGGTTTGTTTTCCTTTCTCTAGAATTCTTTGTCTATGCTAGGTCCTTCACATTCTTATGTAAATATTATCATCAGCTGGTCATTTTATAAAAATAAATTTTGGAATTTTTATTGGTGTTGCAGAGAATATATACACCAATTTGAAGAACACTGGAATCCAAAGAGTATTGATCTTTTCTATTCACGAACATGGTATATACCAACATTTATTTGCTTCTCAGTTTAATTCTCTCAAAAATATTTCATAAATTTAAGTGAAGAGTTTTAGGATGTCTTCTGTTACATTTATAAGTGTTTTTACAAAAAAACAAAAGTTTAAGGAACCGTTTAGACTTTTTCAAGAATAATTTATAGATGACATTATATTTTTTCTACCCAAATATTATTTCTAGCTGTCTTTCTTTTTGTGATATTAGCAGCTGTTTTGAATTCTTTTGTCAACTTGGCAGCAACCACTACACTTTTCTAAAACTAGGAACTCTATATTCTAGAACACTCTTCCCTAAATGAATCCTCAAAAAATTTGCAAATGAAGAAAATTCACACACAGTTCCAAAGATAAGAGTGAAGCCGAAGTCACTGTCAGCAATTTTTGGCAGCCAGGCATTGAGACTTTCAGAACCTTTAACACAGTTCTTCTCTGCAATTCTAGCATCCAGATGTAGCCCCATGATAGACCTCGCACGAGCGTGTACTTCATATCCTGCTGAATACAGAAGTTGCCTGGACTCTTTCATGAGCTGCTGCTTTCCCGCCTATATCAATGTTGTCAGCTGATGCCATTTGTGATTGCATTTCTGACTTTCTGAAGGAAACCTGCCAAACCTTCATTTTTTTTTGCTTACATGCACATGAATGTAGGCACTAATTCTTACATTAAACTGTTTATTTCTATAATACTTAATTGGCTGTTTTCCTGGCTGAACCAAAGCAGGAGCAGCAGGGATGATAACTTGCAAAACTGATTAAATTAGAGGTCAAGAAATGGAGCCATTTTAATTCTATTATTCTTCTTTCATATATTAAATATAAAACTTTTGTAGATAGTTTTTCTTCATTATCTCTTTGGTTACCCTTA